TCTGTGGTTTTATAGGCTAGGCTGTATGATGGACACAACTTGATTTAAGGCTGGTTATTGAGACTTCATGAGAAATCACTGTTTGCCGACGACATAATGGTGGTGGGCCTGATCACCAGCGACGCTGAGACAGCCTACAGGGAGGAGGCAGTGTGGTGCCAGGAAAACAACCTCTCCCTCAACGTCCGCAAGACAAAGGAGCTGATCGTGGACTACAGGAAACGGAGGGCAGAGCACACCCCATCCACCGCCTCTTTCAGGAGGCTGAAAAGATTTGGCATGGGCCCTCAGATCCTCAAAAAGTTATACAGCTGCACCATAGAGAGCATGTTGACTGGCTGCAACACCGCTTGGTGTGGCAACACCGCCTGGTATGGCAACACCGCCTGGTATGGCAACACCGCTTGGTATGGCAACACCGCCTGGTATGGCAACTCCTTGGCATCCGACCGTAAGGCGCTACAGAGGGTGGTGCGTACGGCCCAGTATGCAAGGAGTATACCAGTTACTTCCAGGTACCCCTGCACATTGACTCAGTACTGGTACTCCTTGCCATGTTTCTACCTGGTACTACCTTTAACCAATTATGTTCTTTAATGCAAGGCCGACAGACAAGTTCCTTACTTTTTCCCCCTTCCACTTTCCTCTTCCATTTTTGCGGTAAGGCTGCAATTATTTGGTTGTAATTTTGGGTAGAGCAGACATTTCCATATGTTTTTGTTAGCTGCATGTGTGTCATAACTCCACCAGTCCTACCGATAATATCATTTACGAAGATTATACCTTTTTTTTTTTATTCTAAAAAAAGAATGTTTTTGAAATAAATTAGCATATTTGAGTTTAACCACAATATTTCTTCTGTCATTTCTGGAGGATTAAATTGAAATTGCAACCAACTTTCTATGGCTTGTTTTAGAAATAGTGATATTTGGGAGATGATTTCCTTTTCAAATACCTGAAAGTGAGAGGTTGTAATCTGAATAAAGGGAAAAAGTCCCTTCTTGAACATTGGGTGAGACAATCGTAGTAGTTTGCTAGAGAACCAGTTCGGATTTAAGTATAATTTTTGTATGACTGAAGCTTTTAGTGATAGGTCTAATGCTTTAATATTTAATGATTTCTGTCCTCCAAATTCATATTCATTATATAAATAGGCCCGTTTAATTTTGTCTGGCTTGCCGTTCCAAATAAAATTGAATCTTTTTTTCTCATATCATTTAAAAAACTGTTCGCTAGGCGTAGGCAAGACCATAAGCAAATAGGTAAACTGGGATAATACTAAAGAATTAATCAGGGTGATTTTTCCACAAATTGACAGGTATTTACCTTTCCATGGTAGCAAGATCTTATCTATTATTGCTAACTTTCTATTAACAATCTTTGGAATGAGATCATTTATTTCCTTTGGGATATGTATTCCGAGTATATCCACATCACCATCAGACCATTTTATTGGTTAACTACATGGTAATGTAAAAATTGTATTTTTTAGTGATCCAATATGTAGTATAGTACATTTATCAAAATTTGGTTGTAATCCAGAGAGGTTAGAAAATGTATCTAGATCCTCTATGAGGCTGTGGAGGGATTCAAGTTGTGGATTTAAAAGAAAACATGAATCATCAGCGTACAATGACACCTTTGTTTTTAAGCCCTGGATTTCTAATCCCTTGATATTATTGTTGGATCTGATTTTAATGGCTAACATCTCGATGGCAATAATAAATAGATATGCCGATAGTGGACAACCTTGTTTCACTGCTCTTGACAGTTTAAAACTTTCTGAGAAATAGCCATTATTTACTATTTTACACCTAGGGTTACTATACATGATTTTAACCCAATTTATAAGAGATTGTCCAATATTGAAATGCTCCAGGCATTTATATATAAACCCCAGTCATACTTTATCAAATGCATTTTCAAAGTCTGCTATGAATAGCAGGCCTGGTTTCCCAGATTTTTCATAGTGTTCTGTTGTTTCCAGTACTTGTCTTATATTATCTCCAATGTATCGTCCATGTAAAAAACCTGTCTGATTAGAATGAATAATGTCCGACAATACCTTTTGAATTCTATGAGCTATACATTTTGCTAGAATTCTTGCATCACAACACTGAAGTGTAAGGGGCCTCCAATTTTTTAAATGGACTGGATCTTTATATTTTCCACTTGTATCCTGTTTCAGTAATAATGAAATGAGACCTTCTTCTTGAGTGTCTGATAATCTACCATTTACATAGGAGTAGTTAAAACATGCTAATAACGGTCCTCTGAGTATATCAAAAAAGGTTTGGTATACCTCGACTGGTATGCATTCAACCCTGGAGTTTTCCCGGATTTAAAGTCTTTAATTGCATCTAGAAGTTCCTCCTCTGTAATTTCACCTTCACATGAGTCTTTCTGTATGGCTGATAATTTTACATTATCAATAGAAGAAAACAAATCTACAATTTGCTTCAGTTAGAGGAGATGGAGGCGACTGAAACGAAAACATATGCTTAAAGTACTTTGTTTCCTCCTTCAAAATATAATTTGGTGAATCATGGGTGACTCTGTCATTTGTAACCAGTTTCAATAAATTCTTTTTGGTAGCATTCCTATGTTGAAGATTAAAAAATAATTTGGTGCATTTTTCCCCATAATCCATCCAGTTTGCTTTATTTTTATAATATATTACACTTGATCTTTCTTGAATAAGTTTCTCCATTTCTTTTTGTTTTTCCTCTAATTTATTCTGAGCCTCTATGTTACAGTTTTTATTGCTATCTATCTGTTCTGTTAGACCTTCTATTTCCTTTGTTTTTATGGACTCTTTTGACCTAAATTGCTTTTGTTTTAAAGGCACATTTAAAGGTGTCCCATACAATTAGGGGATTTGCTGTACCTATGTTATGTCGGAAAAAAATCATTTATAAATTCCTCTGTCCTAGTTGAAAAACAAGTTATCATCCAATAGGCTTTGATTAAAGATTAAAACTTTTGGTGCCAACGAGAATGACATAAGAAAGAAGTCAAGACGACTAGCTTGATTGAGTCTCCGCCATGTATATCTCACTAGATCAGGATATTTAAGCCTCCATATATCTACTAGTTCTAATGTATCCATGACATTCACGATTTCCTTAAGAGCATGAGGGTGATTGTTTGTAGTGTGATTTCCTTTACGGTCCATTGAGCTATTTAAAACAGTATTATAATATCCCACCATAATAATAGAGTCTTTAATTGCTTGCAAGGTTGATAATTTATTATATATATTTTCAAAGAAGTGTGGATCATCATTATTTGGTCCGTAAAGGTTAATGAGCCGTATCTGTTTATGGTCCAATAACATATTTAAAATAATCCATCTACCTTGCGTATCTGTTTGGACAATTTGCACATTCGGATCAAAATTACTGTTAATTAATATCATCACCCCTTTTGAGTTTCTTATCCCATGGGAGAAATATGTTTCACCCCCCCCCCCCCCCCCCCCCCCCCCCCCATTCCTTTTTCCACGCAACTTCATCTAGAATTGTTGAATGAGTTTCCTGTAAACAATAGATATTATATTCCTTCTCTTTGAGCCATGTAAATATTGTTCTTCTTTTGTCTTACTTTTTAACTCTGCGCTGTTGGTTAAGGTCTCGTAAGTAAGAATTTCACTGTAAGGTCTACACCTGTTGTGTTTGGCGCATGTGACAAATAACATTTGATTTGATGATTTGAAATATTGGTTACAGAGCAGATGTCACGATCGTCGAACACAGTGGACCAATGCGCAGCGTGATAAGTGAACATACTTTTATTTAGATTCACCACACGAACAAAACAATAACGTGACGTCCTTGGTTACAATACAAAACCAACACGGAACAAGATCCCACAAAACACTGTGGAAAACAGGCTGCCTAAGTATGGTTCCCAATCAGAGACAACAAGCAACAGCTGATACTCGTTGCCTCTGATTGAGAACCACCCCGGCCAACACAGAAACACATGAGCTAGATAATCAACCTAGAACACAAAACACATAGAAACAACACACCCTGGCTCAACATAACAGAGTCCCAGAGCCAGTGCGTGACAGCAGAACAAAGGTGGAGAAATAAGTATAGTTAGTTTGAGTTTTATTCTGAAACTATAACCTCACTATATACATGGATGTCTTGCAGTAAATTGCCAAAGCAAATAATACTTTTCAATTTTGCGTGTATGCATTTGGCCTGTATCAAGCTCCCATATTAAACAATATATTAATTCCCAGTTAAACAGTACTTCACAATAATTTACTCAATAAACTTCATAAATCCCTCATTTAGAATTGTACATCATCCTTCATAAATCCCTCATTTAGAATTGTACATCATCCTTCATAAATCCCTCATTTAGAATTGTACATCATCCTTCATAAATCCCTCATTTAGAGTTGTACATCATCCTTCATAAATCCCTCATTTAGAATTGTACATCATCCTTCATAAATCCCTCATTTAGAATTGTACATCATCCTTCATAAATCCCTCATTTAGAGTTGTACATCATCCTTCATAAATCCCTCATTTAGAATTGTACATCATCCTTCATAAATCCCTCATTTAGAGTTGTACTTCATAAGAGTATAATGGTACTTCTTAAGATTTCTGGTACCACTTCATTTTACAGAATCAAATCACATAGAATAAAACAAAACATACTTTTGATCCTAAAATCGAATCTAAAATGCACATATTCATGTATGATTACATCTATAACAGACATACAGAATAAATATGTAACAACCGTTGCTCAACATGTTTGAGAGACATAACAACACTACAGAGTAAAGATCAAGACATAACAACACTACAGAGTAAATATCAAGACATAACAACACTACAGAGTAAAGATCAAGACATAACAACACTACAGAGTAAAGATCAAGACATAACAACACTACAGAGTAAAGATCAAGACATAACAACACTACAGAGTAAATATCAAGACATAACAACACTACAGAGTAAAGATCAAGACATAACAACACTACAGAGTAAATAAAGATCAACATTGCATTTGGTTTTCACTGCGTTCTCCTCCTCACTTCAGCTTCATAACATTTGCAGAAAATAGCAACAATGCATCTCAAGTTTCTACTCTTCAAATGTAATCTACAGTTATCTTCAAGAGAACACACTTCATTGGATGGTGGCCTGAGGTGGGTGGGTCCAGTATCTGATATGAGTGTCATCATTGGTCAACAGTGGATGGAGGGGGAGAAAGGGGGGAGGAGAGGTAGATGGAGGAGGGATGGAGGAAGGGGTCCTCCTCACAGCATGCTGGTCTTCACCCTCTCAAAGATCTGTCGGACCTTCACCGCCGGGACACAGCCTTCCCTCACGATACTAATCGTACCTGGAGGAGGAGGAAACACAATACTGACTGAGTGATCGTTGACACACACTGAATCACAGCGTGGGACTAGTGTTGCAAAGTCCCGGTAACTTTTCCCAGGTTTTCCAGAAATCCTGGTCGGAGGATTCTTTGAAATCCAGGAATCTTTCAACCAGTATTTCTGGAAAACCTGGGAATTTTGAGAAAGTTACCAGAATGTTCCGTCCCCAGGCAGGACAACACAACCTAAGATGTTAGTCATTAGTTATTGTAGTGGGCTTCTGTTCTGTGACATCATACCTTCATCTATCTTGAGGCAGTTCACCACCGTTGAGGCTACGACCTCGTTGGAATCCCCGTCACACAGAACCCCCTGGATCTTATGGCCCAGCCGACTAGGATACAAACATAGTGACAGACAGTGTCAGAGTAGGTTCGGGTTCAGGTTCAGGTTTAGGTTCAGGTTCAGGTTCAGGTTTAGGTTTAGATTGGCCCAGACCACTGGATCACAGACAGATAAAGATCAACACAGATACATCAGTATAAATTGATGTTTACACAGCAGGATAGATATGTTCAGATGCTGGTCTTATGGGTTACAGGAAGGAAACCAGTCTGACAGGAAAGGGAAGTGTCATGTTCAGAGAAGGTTCAGGTTCAAGAACTGTATCTAACAGTTGAGGACCATCCTCCTCAGTGAATTTCATAAAAATACAAATAGTTAGTAGTAGTTAATAGTTAACCTTTTTAGATAAAACTATATTACATATATTCACCTCACCAAATCATTGATTAAAACACTCTGTTTGGCAATGAAAGTCTACAGTAGCCTCAACAGCACTCTGTAGGGTAGCACCATGGTGTAGCCGGAGGACAGCTCGTTATCGTCCTCCTCTGGGTACATTGACTTCAATCCAAAACCTAGGAGGCTCATGGTTCTCACCCCCTTCCATAAACTTACACAGTAATTATTACAACTTCCAGAGGATGTCCTCCAACCTATCAGAGCTTTTGCAGCATGAACTGACATGTTGTCCACCCAATCAAAGGATCAGAGAATGAATCTAGTACTGAAAGCATAAGCTACAGCTAGCTAGCACTACAGTGCATAACATGTGGTGAGTAGTCGACTCAAAGAGAGAGAAAGACAAGAGTTGAACAGTTTTGAACAAATTAATTTCTTACAAAATAAAGGAGAAGGAAGACAGGGAGAGAGAGCTAGCTATATTTCATAACTTTCACATAAAGATGCACTATGTATAATCACTCCGCAAATTCCTTCTTGCTAAAACTCGAATAGTTAGCCTAGTTTCAGTTTGTGACAAAACAAGCAAGTATAGTGAAGAGAATCATTGTACCATCTAAACTGCTGTGAAATATCTTGTCCATAACCAAAAATATTGTATTTTCAGCTGTTTGAAGCTGGTGGACAAAACCGAAAGGAAAAGAAGCAGAAACGAAACATGAGAACCGGAAGCATAGAAATAGTAGAACATAGAACAGATCTACTTCTTCTTAGACTTGCTTTCAATGATAATGACAGATCTATAACTCACATTTCTGTTCATATTGCAGCTAGCTAGCGAATGCAGAAAGGGATGCTTTTGGTTTGATTAATTTATTGCCACCGGGGCCCACCGGTGGAACTGCTAAACTGCTTGCTGTACACTGTACTGCATGATCGTTGCAGGTTTTCTAACACGTTAGTTCTAGTAGCTATGTTGATTGACTATGACGTTAGCTAATAGTGGTGACAACGATGTAGGCTGTGTGTAGCGGTTAGCGGTTATGGTATGAAAGTTTGGCTTGGAAAGGTTTTTTCACCTGGTCACAGAATAGCGTGTATGAGCGAGAATAGATTTTTACAATGAGAAAAGAGATCATGCTGTTTGTATGTGGCTGCTATGAAAGTGAACTATGTTTGCGTGGGATCAGGGGTGTATTCATTCCACAGATTCTGTTAAAACGTTTCTTAAACAAAGCAAATGGAACAAAACGGGTATAAGCCGAACTGGATTTTCCAACAGAAACTCTTGTTTGCAACTGTTGGACGAATGATTACACCCTATATCAGCTAGATGCAGGTAAGAGTGTGCAAGGCGGTGTTGAATGTGTCGCTGTCTGTCACCTTGATCACTCGACCTGTGCACCTACGTTGTAAGCTTTCATTCATAGGCTAGGTTGTAGCAACCTCATGATGGGTACAGGGAACATGTTAGTATTATGTAGTAGCCTAAACCTATCACTGTTACATTGAGCTGGGTGAATAGAATATGAATGAGAGTCATCCAATATGCTGTAATAGAAATAAGGCCCTGCTCTTAACAAAATAATCGTCCTCCCTAATCTTAAAAGGCACCGACCACCACTGGAATGGAATCATCATGACCCTATAGACAGCAGGACACTAGACAGAGGACTGATTAACACAGATACATTAGTAAAACTGGAACTTTATGCTGCAGGCATTGATATGAAACCAGTCTGACAGGAAAGATCAGACCAGTCTACATTACAACCAGCCTCCTGGATAGAAAAATACTTAAATACTATCAGCATCACTATCAGCATCACTATCAGATGAAGGCAGTATAGCACACCAACAGGCTTAAGCACTTAAGTACAGGTGGGTACAGGTGGGTACAGGTGAGTACAGGTGGGTACAGGTGGGTACAGGTGGGTACAGGTGGGTACAGGTGGGTACAGGTGGGTACAGGTGGGTGTTATGATAGACCGTTACCTGATGACCATGTCGTGGTGCGTGCTGTCGGGTTCCCCACTGGGATTGGCTGAGGTGATGGCAAGCGGTCCGGTGATGTCACACAGGTGTCCGGTGACGGTGTGGTCAGGGACTCGGATCATGATGCTGTCCTTGGTCCCCACACGGTCATAGGCTGCACCCACACCTGGACAACACAGGTAAACAAATAGATCAACACAGGTAAACAAATAGATCAACACAGGTAAACAAATAGATCATCATCAAATCAACGCACACAATAGAGAACGAAGAAACCAAATAAGACGTTGTTTTCATCAAACCATTTCTGAGAGTATCCTGACCCCTAACACTAACCCTAACCCAACGTAACCCAATGCAGTTGCAGTTGCAGCCACCACCCCTCCTCTTACCCAGTATCCCGACCCCTAACACTAACCCTAACCCAATGTAACCCAATGCAGTATCCCGACCCCTAACACTAACCCTAACCCAACGTAACCCAATGCAGTATCCCGACCCCTAACACTAACCCTAACCCAACGTAACCCAATGCAGTATCCCGACCCCTAACACTAACCCTAACCCAACGTAACCCAATGCAGTATCCCGACCCCTAACACTAACCCTAACCCAACGTAACCCAATGCAGTATCCCAACCCCTAACACTAACCCTAACCCAACGTAACCCAATGCAGTATCCCGACCCCTAACACTAACCCTAACCCAACGTAACCCAATGCAGTATCCCGACCCCTAACACTAACCCTAACCCAACGTAACCCAATGCAGTATCCCGACCCCTAACACTAACCCTAACCCAACGTAACCCAATGCAGTTGCAGTTGCAGCCACCACCCTTCCTCTTACCCAGTATCCCGACCCCTAACACTAACCCTAACCCAACGTAACCCAATGCAGTATCCCGACCCCTAACACTAACCCTAACCCAATGTAACCCAATGCAGTATCCCGACCCCTAACACTAACCCTAACCCAATGTAACCCAATGCAGTATCCCGACCCCTAACACTAACCCTAACCCAATGTAACCCAATGCAGTATCCCGACCCCTAACACTAACCCTAACCCAACGTAACCCAATGCAGTATCCCGACCCCTAACACTAACCCTAACCCAATGTAACCCAATGCAGTTGCAGTTGCAGCCACCACCTCTTACCCAGTCTGAGTAGCCAGTCCCCCTTGCTGACGATGCAGCTGATCCCTCCAGGGTAGACGTTCCTCATGAACTCCCAGAGTAGAGAGCTGAAGGGGGGCTTGGCTGCCACCAGCTGCTCTACACTGGAGATACAGATACAGATGGGCTTCTCTGCTGGGCGGTCCTTGATGTTGTAGATGCTCTCGATGGCCTGAGGGTTCTTGCAGGATGCGGCCAGGGCGTAGACGGTATCGGTGGGGATTCCACAGACCCCCCCGTCGTCCAGCAGTCTGGAGATCTTCAGGAGACCACTGGTCAGTCTGGAGTCTGCCACGGGACAGGGCAGGGCAGGGGAGGACTTCTGCTGCTGCTGCTTCACACCCTGAGACACAACAACACAAGATGTGGAACAGGATAGAAAAGGAAGGAACTGGATCGGAGAACAGTAGAATGAAATGGAATGAAACCCCATTAAACCGCTCCATTCTATTTGTCAGCTCATCCAATGGAACGGAAGAGAGTGGAACAGTGTCTTGTTCTCACCTTAACCAGTGGAGGCCCCAGGGGCAGCACACTCTGAGAGAAGGTACAGTTGACCAGTGATGCCAGGGTCCCATATAGACAGATGACTGAGAACACAGCTAGCATGGCAACTACAAGAACAACGCCAGAAACGTGTTAGAACAGTGACACAACTGACGTCTAGGTAGCAGATTAATGTGTACATTTATACAGTTATTGTCTGAGCAGCAAACATATTGATATACGGTCACTATGGATACCACATAACATTGGCTGAATCACAAACCCAACCACTTGGACCACTTCGATCACGCGATAAAGGGCAGATGGCCAAGTGTTGGGTTTTTGGACTCAGCCATACTGTGTATCACAGGAGGCTGGTGGCACCTTCATTGGGGAGGACGGGCTCGTTCTATTGACTGGAGCGGAATCAGTGGAATGGTATCACACATGACTTCCAGGTGTTTGATGCCATTCCATCTGCTCCGTTCCGGTCATTATGATGAGCCGTCCTCCCCTCAGAGCCTGGTCCTGTCAGTGTAGGGTGGTGAAAAGCAGGTTCCTTACTCTCCAGCTGGTAGGGGAGCTGTTGGAGGGTGGACAGGAGGAAACACACCAGGACTGCCTCCATGACCACGGTCAGAGACAAGAGGACCAGGTTACCATACGCAGCTGGGGGGGACATGGAGAGGGTTAGGAACAGAGGTTACCATACGCAGCTGGGGGGGGGGGGGCATGGAGAGGGTTAGGAACAGAGGTTACCATACGCAGCTGGGGGGGGGGGACATGGAGAGGGTTAGGAACAGAGGTTACCATACGCAGCTGGGGGGGGGGGACATGGAGAGGGTTAGGAACAGAGGTTACCATACGCAGCTGGGGGGGGGGGACATGGAGAGGGTTAGGAACAGAGGTTACCATACGCAGCTGGGGGGGACATGGAGAGGGTTAGGAACAGAGGTTACCATACGCAGCTGGGGGGGGGGGGCATGGAGAGGGTTAGGAACAGAGGTTACCATACGGCAGCTGGGGGGGGGGGGGGACATGGAGAGGGTTAGGAACAGAGGTTACCATACGCAGGCTGGGGGGGGGGACATGGAGAGGGTTAGGAACAGAGGTTACCATACGCAGCTGGGGGGGACATGGAGAGGGTTAGGAACAGAGCTCTCTCCCTCTCTCTCTCTCTCTCTCTCTCTCTCTCTCTCTCTCTCTTCTCCTCTCGTCTCTCTCTCTCCCTCCTCTCCTCCTCTCTCTACTCTCTCCGTCTCTCTCTCTCACTCGTCAGTCCTCTCTCTCTCTCTCTCTCTCAGCAGGAGAAGAGGTAGATATTGGTGACTTTATGTAAAGACTGACCGATGAGCATGAGGAAAGCGTTGATGACCAGGAAAGCGATGGCTCCAGCTGTGAACCCATAGGATCCTACTGGAGAGATCTGCAGCATGGGGCCTGAGAAAAGAACACAGAGACGTTTTACTGAAACAGGCAGCAGAGCATGGAGAAAACAGCAATAACATGAACAAATGTTTCCTTATGTGCCCTTCCCAACAATGCAGAGAAAAATCAAATATAGAAATAATAGAAAAGTAATAATAACAGTAATAATTACAGTAATAATAACAGTAATAATAACAGTAATAATAACAGTAATAATAACAGTAATAATAACTGTAATAATAACAGTAATAATAACAGTAATAATAACTGTAATAATAACAGTAATAATAACTGTAATAATAACTGTAATAATAACTGTAATAATAACTGTAATAATAACTGTAATAATAACAGTAATAATAACAGTAATAATAAATCCATAATGAGTAACGATAACTTGGCTGTACTGTATACATGGGGTACCAGTACTGAGTCCATGATAACTTGGCTGTATACACGGGGTACCAGTACTGAGTCCATGATAACTTGGCTATATACACGGGGTACCAGTACTGAGTCCATGATAACTTGGCTATATACACAGGGTACCAGTACTGAGTCCATGATAACTTGGCTGTATACACGGGGTACCAGTACTGAGTCCATGATAACTTGGCTGTATACACGGGGTACCAGTACTGAGTCCATGATAACTTGGCTATATACACGGGATACCAGTACTGAGTCCATGATAACTTGGCTGTATACACGGGGTACCAGTACTGAGTCCACGATAACTTGGCTGTATACACGGGGTACCAGTACTGAGTCCATGATAACTTGGCTATATACTCGGGGTACCAGTACTGAGTCCATGATAACTTGGCTGTATACAGGGGGTACCAGTACTGAGTCCATGATAACTTGGCTATATACACGGGGTACCAGTACTGAGTCCATGATAACTTGGCTGTATACACGGGGTACCAGTACTGAGTCCATGATACTTGGCTATATACAACGGGGTACCAGTACTGAGTCCATGATAACTTGGCTGTATACACGGGGTACCAGTACTGAGTCCATGATAACTTGGCTATATACACGGGGTACCAGTACTGAGTCCATGATAACTTGGCTGTATACACGGGGTACCAGTACTGGGTCCATGATAACTTGGCTATATACACGGGGTACCAGTACTGAGTCCATGATAACTTGGCTGTATACACAGGGTACCAGTACTGAGTCCATGATAACTTGGCTGTATACACGGGGTACCAGTACTGAGTCCATGATAACTTGGCTATATACACGGGGTACCAGTACTGAGTCCATGATAACTTGGCTGTATACACGGGGTACCTGTACTGAGTCTATGTGCAGGGGAACGAGGTCATTGAGGTAGATATGTCCATATAACTGGGAATAAAGGGACAGATAATAAAAAGTAGCAGCAGCGTATGGGATGAGTCAAAATAGTTAGTGTAAAAAGAGTCAATGCAGATAGTCTGGGTAGCTATTTGGTTAACTATTTAACTAACTATTTAGCAGTCTTATGGCTTGGGGGTAGAAGCTGTTCAGGGTCCAGTTGGTTCCAGACTTGGTGTATCGGTACCGCTTGCCGTGCGGTAGCAGAGAGAACAGTCTATGAGTGGCTGGAATCAGATTTTTTTTGTTTTTTATGACTTAAGCGAAAACTTAAAGACACCTGCAGTTAGGAATTGGTTAGGGTTAGCATTAAGTCATCCACATACCTGTGAAGCGGAACCATGTCCAGGTGGCCCAGACAGCCAGGTAGAAGGATGGGATGACAGAGCCAAACCTCTGCCCTCCTCTGACCTGCAGCCTGCTGACGAACCCCTGTACCACCGCTCCAGACACCAGAACCCAGGGAACACTCAACCGCAGGAAGGACACGCTCTGACTGGATGAGGCCGCGTGGAGCGCCGAGAGAGCAGCCACGCCATTGGTCAGGTAGAACAGAGCGTCAGGGATCTGACTGGTCGGGGATGATGATGATGATGATGATGACGGCGGGGAGGAACAGCAGGACAGGATGGAGCGGAGACGGTCGGAGGAGACGGGCTGAGGACCCACCGGGATCAGACTCTTCTCAGCGATGGTGTTGATGAGGCGGCAAAACGTCCCATAGAGCGAGGCAGAGGCGAACAGGGAACAAGACACCCCGAAGAATACATAGTACCCCTGAAGGGGGATCTGGGGGACCGTGGAGACGGACAGCAGCAGGAACAGAGCATTATGGGTAACCTCCAGGGCGTCATTACTCAGACTGACCACTAGGAGGAGGAGCGCCACCGCCACGAAGAACCAATCACCAACCATCGCCTGTCTCCCAGTAGCCACCTCTCCGTCTGGCTCCGACACGATCACAGCCGACATCACAAACTCCTCCCACGCCTTGGTGAGCCAGTAGGTGGCGTGCAGGCCGGCCTTGGTGGCCAGGTAGCCATCTTGGCGCAGGTGAGCATAGTATGAAGAGAGGAGTTGAGCAGCAGAGATGATGGAGACCCACACAGCCCCCAGGGAGAAGGACTTGACGTAGCCGAAGCTGTAGAACAACAGGATGAAGGGAGACACTGTGTCACAGAAGAAGAAGAGTGCCTGGGGTTCAGCGTACTTGGTGTTCTTCTTCTTCTCCTGTCCCAGGCTCTGGGCGCCGGCCGCAGGGCTGTTGGTCCCCAGCAGGAGCACGTTGAACAGGGGCGTGCCGAACCCCTTGAGGACATAGCGCTGCGCCAGGCCTTTCACCAAGAGGGCGGCGCTGCCGTACACGGCGAAGAGGAGGATGAGGAGTTCTAGAACGCCAGAGACGACCAACGGCCAGGCCGAGGACACGCCAACCGCCACAGCCTCAAACAGCAGGGTCAGCGTGATGGCGCCGAACACGAAGGGCATGATGATGTTGACCGTGGCAGAGCAGAAGGCCAATAGGAAGGATAGAAGGATGTAGGGGATCAATCCCGCGATGGCAGACTGGGGGATGGGCAGGAGAGACAGCCAATCAGGGCTCTGCGAGGTGCTGTTCCAGACTTCCGCCGACAGGGATAGGTTGGTGATGAGGGTAGTGGGCAGGGTCATGTTACTCATCAGGTCATGTGACAGGGTCAGGTTAGTTGTTTTTGGTTGGGAGGCGCCCAGGAAGATGCGTGTGGCGCCATAGCTGCCCCAGAGCGCTGCGTAGCCAATGAAGGCGGTGCCGCTCAGGTGGTCGTATTTACGGAACGACAGGAGGCCGGCAATCAGCTGACACACTCCACCTATCAGAATGAGATGAACACCTGCAAACACAACACAGTTAGCGATGTTGAACAACCACCTGAAACACACAACAGCAAGAACAGGGAATAGAGTAGGGTTAGTCATTGTGAAAGTGATTGTGATAGTGATCATGATGGATGGATTGATTAGCGTACCTGCCAGAATGTTCTCCACCCCCTCGGCAGTTACTCCAGTTCTAGCAGT